CCACTACGCGAAGAATTGCATTAAAGAAATTGCGAGAAAACCACTTTTTAGATTAGACACATTAATTAGGCGGTAATTTTATTATAGAGTATCGATGAGGAAACCACCGCCCCACCCACCCCCCCCACTCACACCTCCCCCCCCCACTCCCCCCCCCCCACTCCCAAAAAAAACATGTCTACCGTCCCATTCAACGAAATATAATTATATACTTTTTCCAGTGTCCGCCCCCCCCTCCCCGAAAATTCTAACCCCGCCCTCGAAAATTTCAATTACCCCCACCCCTCTCCGGGGAGGAAAAAGTCTGAAAGAAACACTGGTGTCGCGCTTAGCCACTACCCGAAGAATTGCATTAAAGAAATTGCAAGAAAACCACTTTTTAGATTAGACACATTAATTAGGCGGTAATTTTGTTATAGAGTATCGATGAAGAAATTTCTTTTGAGTTGGGGGGGGGGGGGGGGGGGCTCAGACGTTCTTACGCGGGGGGTGGGGCTTCGCCCCTACCCGAAGAATTGTATGCAAGAAACTCTTCACGCAAACCATTTAGATTAGACAACATTTCCTTTTTTTCAATGTTTACGCGATAATCAATGACGTCATTACATTACTGTGTGCACTCTCTGGTTTGAGATTATGTTCTACTCTACGCTAAATGTGTCGACGTCATATTTCGTTTTTCGAATTACTGTGCATGTTTTTAAATTGCTTGTGTTTTCTCTAGAGCGTTCTTGTCAGACAGAGCGTTCTTGTCAGATACACAGACAGCGAAACTATTATTATAGATTTTGCAATTTTTGCTATGATGTCACCCCCAAGTAAATAGTGTCACCCGGTGCGGTCCGCACCCCTCTCCCCAGCATCGCGACGCCTCTGAATATTACACACACACATGTATGCCGTATTTTAATTTAGGAAAGTGTTTTTTTTTTAGTTCCTACACTGTCTAGATCTAACGCAAGTAAAATGTTAAAATCATGAAAATAATTAGGCTAATTAAATCAATTTTGTTTATATTGTTTCGTTTAGTTTTTAATACTTTCATTTTTGGTCCACTCTATGTTTCTCTTTTTTAATTTTATCTCCTTATTTCTACGACAAATGTGTTAATAATAATTATCCACGGTTTTGATGACGTTTTACACAACCACTGTGGTTTCCTCACGTTGTTGCAATAGTTGCACATAAATAGACTAGGGCCTACTTCAGTAATCTACTTCAGACTAAAAAGAAAGATAGATCTACTCCCAAAATCGTCAAATATTTGTCTGTTACATAAAAATGGCAGTTCGCGCTCAGTTTGAAGGAAATAATGAAGTTGGAGTTTTTGCCAAACTGACAAATAGTTATTGCTTAGTCGGGATTGGAGGTTCTGAAAATTTCTACAGGTATGATTTTTTTCTTGGGTCTGTTATTTAAGAATTGTCAGATCTACTTTCGACCTAATTTCTTTGTCTCGTAAGCTGCGCCTTAGTGAAAGTAGCTCTATATAGATCTAATTCTTATCGGTAATCTATCGTTTTGGGTACGTAAAATCGCCCGCGACTAGTAATGTGAAAAACAGGTGACTCCTTAAATTTAGGCATTTTGGTAAATTTTGCCTAATTATCTCAGAATGATAAAACACACATAATATTGAAGGCCATAAACTGCCATTTAATAAACCACTAAAGTTATCACTGTAGGCCCAGTAGTTTTTTTTTTATGAATTTTTAAAGTTGTATGTTAAACAGCTTATATTTTATTGTAAAGTTGCAAAATACTTGGTGTCCTTCTTTGAGTTCATATAGCGTTGTTATTTTTTAACATGTAATGATAAAACTTTGCATATTGATACTAGAGAGTACAGGCAACAGGAATATGCAATTGAAATAAAGATCAGTAAAGGTAAAACCAAAAATAATTAAGACTAATTAAGGGTCATGGCGTTTCTATAGAGAGAGCAACGTTAGTCTATTGTCAAACTGCACAACTCTGTTGTTAATAAAGATATATTGATAAAACTTTGCATATTGGTGCTAGGGAGTACAGGCAACAGGAATATGCAAGTGAAATACAGCTTAATTAAAAGGAAAACAACTAATAATTAACTTAATAAAGCCCAATTAAGGAGTGCGGTGCCGTTCTACTATGATTGCCACAAGTCACTTTTCATACTGAATATCTATGTTGCTATTGATGATACAAAGATAAAACTTAGCACATAGATGCTTAAGGATGTTGGGAATAGAAATTTACAAGTCAAAAAAATGCTAGGAGAAAAAGACAATCACATATAATAAAGTCTAATTAATGGGGGTGGCACTGAAATCTTGTATCAATAATACCTGTGTATCATACTCATACTGGAATATGATATGGTTAGGATTATGTTGAAGTATCTAAATATTAGTAGCATTAGTTATAGGCTACTTTTAATAAGTAGCCAATGATGGTTAATCAATAGACAGCCTACAGAAACTAGATGAGATGTGTCGCAACCGAAGGATAGACAGCTGCCTTATTTGCTGATCTGAACCTACTGTTTAAAAAAAAATTACTGTTGCTTAGTTTAAGTTATAAAATTAAGTCACATTGTTCAAAGTGTTACTGTTTCTGTTTTCTTTTTGATTTAAAAAAAAATGTATCTATTACTGTTGCTTTAGATCACATTATTAAAGTGAAGTGTTAATGTTTCTATTTTATCTTTGACTTCATTTATTTTACTTTCCATGCCTCTATAGATCTAGTAGTATATTTTAGCTATTATTAAATTTTAAAGATAATATACTATAATCTGAGAAATGACCAATTTAATCTTTGTAATTATTTTCTTAATCAGTTTTTCCTGAAACGGGGTAACTAAAGTTTAGACATCATCCATAAGTAATTTTACAACATAATTATATATTTAAGCTTGATGCAATAAATATTAGTTCTATTAGATTCTTATAAGCAATTACTCATTAAAATACATAGATCTAAATCTATTCTATAGGGGCCTAATATTTATAAGGGCCTATTTATTACTATTTAAAATTTTAATTAGGCCTATTATTATTACCCAATTGAAAATGACTAATATGGAAGATTATTAATGAATGGGACTATTAATTCCATTGCTTTAAATTTTATTTAATCCATAAAAAACATTCTATAAGCTAAAATCTTGCCAATTCAATGAATAGTGTTAAACAGTAATATCAAATGTGAGATTTTTTATATTTCATGCATATGGTCTATGGACCGTCATTATTAAAATTGCGTAGATCCCCTTCACTTCACGCAAGAAGCCATATCTGGTTACAAAGAGCTAAAAAGCCCCATAAAACCAACATTTCCACCCATGAAAATAGTTTGGCATTACTTATTTACTAGTCTAGATCTAGTTTCCTGAACTTATCTCTTTTTTAAATGCCGAAATTTGGTTCTATCGATAATAGGTAACCTCGCGGCCCCTATTGCCCTGTTAAAAAATTGTGTCAGCGGGACCCCCCCAAGATTTCCCAATGCTTTTTAAGCATGTTCCAATGTAAAGAACTCTATGAAACTGTTATTTTTGTTCTTGAGAATGGTTAGGATGCTCATTACAACTAATGTCTAGCTTATTATACTTTACTTTCTTGCTAAAATTAATACTAATTGAAAGAGGTCGGTTACTGCGTTTAATGAGACGTGCTCGCTAAGATACCTCGATAAAATTGGGATCGATATGTTAAAATGTAACTAATAGTTTTCCATACAAACATAGAATATAAAAACAGCCCACTTTGACGTATCGAATACACTAATTTATCGATTCTCTCATGATAACTAAGCACTTGGATGGAAAATGGCCGAAATTACAAAAGTTGGCTTGAAAAATTTCGGATGTGGCCAGATTAAACAAAATGGCGGACACCGAAATGCCTACTTAAATTTTGAGGAGGGTTTATGTTTTTTAAAATACAAAAATGTTTCCTTGTTTCATTTATGTACCCGTTTTTAAACAATTGAATTAAAACTTTTCCGTAATAAATGAAGACTAGCGATGTTTCCAACAGATGCAACCATGCTCATTTACTTGTTTAAGTTTTATTTTTATAAGCTTATAGCACAGATTCAGGGGGAAGCCACTCTATTTTACAAATGGCTGCTGTTTATATAGCAAATCTTGCTCTCAGACACTGCTGTTTAAAGTTAATTTCTGGCCTATATCGATATATTTAGCCATTGATTTAGGTTTATTATTCATTTATCTATAATATCTGACACAAATATATGACAATTAACTTCTTTTAAAGCCTTGACAATGAGGTAACGTTTTCGTACATTAATAGCCGCGGGCGATTTTACGTACCCAAAACGATAGATTACCTTCTTATCTATATCTTTCGAATCAAATAACACTAAAATGCCGCGTATATAATAAACCAGACTATGTGTAGATAAAACTTGACAGTACCAATATTACACACATTACAATTAACTGGTAATAATCTATGGTCTGCATGAGATGTGGTCCGTGCAACCGAGCACCCCTCAATAATGCCATTTTATTATAATCTTCTTTGGTGAAAACAAGGCGCGGGAAAATGTGTGCAGCACGAGAATCCAATCATTTAGCTCGATTTATGATTTTTTTTATGTCACACCTAAAAGTAGAATGCTTACGCTGTTTATCTCACTTTACAACTGTAGGCCCCCTATTTAAAATTAATTTTCAAATTTTTATTACTTAGGCCTATTGGGTAAGATTAAGCACATGTTTATTAAAAATAAAAAATATTTTTTCCTTCAGTCAAGTTCAGTGGAGGGTGCCACAGGCTGACCTGACTTTGGAATTTTTTTCATTAATAATGACTTTGCACAGAAAGTTAAAATATGCTAAATTGGCTTATTTTATTAGTGTGCTAGCTATTAGGCCCTATTGATACATTTTTTTAATCAAAAAATCATTTTGAAATTTTCATCAAAATACCTAGTTAGAAGGCTGCATCTATTCGGACCCGGGTCCCAATAGGACTTGTAAGTAGGTCACCAACCTCTCGTTTTCATACTTGCCAGTTAGTATTTTTTTTAAAGCCTCCAGCTCACATAGAGTCATCCCGTTCCATCTGCTAACTCGAGCTATGTGTATGTCCTGTCCATCTCAAACCCCTCCTAAAATAGCACACTCCTGGAAGTCCAAGTGCAAGGGTAATTATGCACCATCACAAGTGTGAAATCTAATTAGACCAGCCCCCAAGTTTCCCACAGTCAATACTGGCCAGTCAGTGTGCATTTAAGTCATAAACTACCATCTGTCAGTATACCCAGCCTCACACCAGCGATCTGCTTGGCCGGACCCCAGGTTTCTCAAGGCCATACATCACAGCTCTGGCTGGGCTGCAGTGGTCAGTCTATGACTACTATGAGCATACTTCAGCATTTTATTTTAATTACCTGTCCGACCTAATAGTCGTAGCCAAGTGCTGGTCACTCGTCTCCTTAATTTATGGGAATCAGGTTGCTTCCCGTCAGATAGGGTCAAAACCAGGTAAAGATGCCATGGGATCGTAACAAAGTACATTTTACTTAGGCCTAAAGCAACACATTTAAATGTAAAATATGGTAGGTGCTGTTTCGAACAACGTGGTATTCAAAGTCAACACAATAAAAAATAAATTGGAACATCAGGTTCAATCGGTTCATTGGCCTAAAAATGTGTTTGAGGCGAGCAGCTCCATTATAACAGCTTAAATGAAATGATTAAAAATTAACCTCTGCATCAAAGTTGATTTGTTATAAGTTATCGACATGTTAAAATTTGGGTTTCAGTTAAAAAATTTGCATATATCAGTGCCCTTTATCCACACAAGGGCTTCTAATTGGTTGGGGGTGGTATGCGAGACAGAATGTTACCTGACTGATTGTTTTCATCCTCTTCTTGCTAATTACTGCCTCACCATTTTGCGTTCCGCATCTTGTATTTTAATTCGATACACTCTTTTTAGATTTGATAAAAATTGGAACTTTAGATTCAGATTTATTGAACTTGAAATACTTTTGCAGCAGTCCAGCTATATTTGAACAAAACTAGCTTTAAAAATTAAATTCTGCATCAAAGTTAATTTTAAAATAATTTTTGGTACTCTGGAATTCGTCGCAAGTGGTGGGGGGGGGGGGGGGGAGGATAAACAGGTCTAAGCAATCCTGTGGAAGGAGAAGCACATGCCGCTGGGTGTATGTGGGCTCAACTAAAGAGATCCCAAAACAAGATGCCCTCCTTGAGGGCTTCAATGGAATAAATCAAAATGTTGTAGTTGTCATCGCATTTTACCATCCAGTCTTCATATTGGGTTGGGGTAGGATGTGAGATAAAATTTTCATGTGTCCCTCGATTAGACATCCTCCCTGCATTTTACAGCCTTGCTTATTATTTTCTAGCACATTACACACCACTATGTAATCACTGGTAAAAATTCTGAGTTTTACTATTATTTTTTTTACCTTATCTCCATTGGTTTTAAATAAGGCATACTTTTTCCTAGTTCATTGCAAAGTAAATCAGTTCTAAGTTAACAAAACACTAAATTTTAGGTCCAAACTGATTGATGGACTGAAGTAGTTGAATGTTTAAAAGTTGCTATCTACAGCGTTGTCTGGCAGTTGGGTGGGAGGGACCTCTTACCAAAGTCTTGCATTAAAATTTCAATAAGATTCAACTATATCAGCAGTTTTCATTCATCTCAGTTTGGACTCAACCAAAATCCTTCAACTATAAGTTATTGTTTGGGGTCATTTCCAACCCCAATTTCGTTTGAATGCAAGAATATATAAATAATGGGAAGCAATTGTGTTTTGGTTTCATAAATCAAATATAGATCTGTTTATGATGTCCAGATGGAGAGGGGGGGTCTGAAAAAAATCGACTTTGGGGGAGGGGGGGTTGGTTCCATGTGGACGTCCACATGTTCAATATAACATGGAAGTGCTTACATTATAAAACATACATAAAATGCTTATCCAGCATGTAAAAGGTACAGTTAAGAATACAGTGTTTATGTTTTAAAAATAAACCATCGCATCGTGTAAATAAAGCACTGAATTTATACCTACACTGGGTCACCCCATTTCATAAGCGACTTCAAGATTTTTAATGATTTTTTTTTTACCATCACCAAAAATGATGTCACATCTCAGCTTACCACAACTCTCAAAACTGGTTTTAAAAAGGAACAGCAATTATTTTTTTTAACATTTACTGAGCTTGATCAACGTTGAATGGGTCTAGGTTGGTTTTTATTGAAATTTAAAAAAAATTACCTACAAAAAGCAACAGCTAAAATTCAAGTTCTAACATGATTGCAAAAGCATGTCATCACACTTTCTGAAATCCATTTCCGCCCCTCCTGAGTATGGCGTCATTTATGTACGACTCCTAATAAAAATAAATAGCAAAAAGAGATCGATGAAGTAAAGAGAAATATAGTTCATTAACCCAAGGAGGCCTTGCGACTTATTAATCTTATAAATGTTATTACAGTCAATTCACAAACAGATCAGCAATATGGCCCATGCTGCTAGCATTAGGTGTTAGTTGCATTTATTTTGGCAATACAAACAACTTGCAGTATTTTCGACATATCAAAAAAATTATGAACATTATTAATTAGGTCTGACGGTTGTCACAATACTGTTAGGATCAATACAGACTAGGTTATTTTTGCTCTTGCATGTTGCTTGATGGTAAACTTTTAAAAAATATATATAATATAAATAATTGGTACTGTAAACTATTCATCTCACAATATTTTGTGTTTTCAGTGTTTTTGAAGGTGAAATAGGGGACACAATTCCTGTGGTCCATGCGAGCATTGCTGGTTGTCGTGTTATAGGCAGAATGTGTGTTGGTAAGGCCATGTTTCCACATTTCCTTTTTAAGTTTTTAAATAAAATGTATTGCTCTGGTCATGAAATAATTTCATATTGTAAGATATTTTGCACACAATAACTAACTTGGCCTTGACTGTTGTCAGGAAATAATTTCATATTGTAAGATATTTTGCACACAATAACTAACTTGGCCTTGACTGTTGTCAGGAAATAATTTCATATTGTAAGATATTTTGCACACAATAACTAACTTGGCCTTGACTGTTGTCACAATAACTAGCTTGGCCTTGACTGTTGTCAGGAAATACTTTCTTATTGTAAGATATTTTGCACACAATAACTAGCTTGGCCTTGACTGTTGTCACAATAACTAACTTGGCCTTGACTGTTGTCATGAAATAATTTCTTATTGTAAGATATTTTGCACACAATAACTAACTTGGCCTTGACTGTTGTCACAATAACTAACTTGGCCTTGACTGTTGTCAGGAAATACTTTCTTATTGTAAGATATTTTGCACACAATAACTAGCTTGGCCTTGACTGTTGTCACAATAACTAAGTTGGCCTTGTCTGTTGTCAGGAAATCGTCATGGTTTGCTGGTCCCCAACACAACCACAGACCAAGAGCTGCAGCACATAAGGAATGCCCTGCCAGACACAGTCAAGATTTACAGAGCTGAAGAGAAGTTGTCTGCCCTGGGGAATGTGATTGCCTGCAATGATTATGTGGCACTGGTACACCCAGATTTAGACAGGGTTAGTTGCTTATATTTTCATAGGGCATAGGTACAATCTGATTTATTTTCGATTTAATTGGTAGGTCAGTATTTTTATAGGGTTGGTAGCATTTAAAAATTTAAAGCTTGACTCTGTAGTATCATTAATGGCATTTTAAAAATAAACCAGGAGTGATCTCCCCTAAACTTTCGCGAATATTCTTATATAACTCTGAATATAGACATGATTTTTAATTACTTAAACTTTTAAAAATCTTAAAAGTAGAATAGAATCTTGTCAAAAAAAGAATTGCGCACCAAGCAAACGCCAAAACAAAATGTGCATAATAGTGCGGAATATTAATATTAGTACTTTATATAGTTACATGCGTTTTTTGAGAAATCGGAAATGGCGTAAATTACTACTTACGGTCAACAGAAATTACTCAAAATTTGATAGAAGGCATAGAATTAGATGTTATACTAACATGTGAAATTTCATTTATCTATCTGAAATAGTACTCAAGTTATAGGCTTTTGAAAAATTCAAAGAAGAAAAAGTACCACTTCCGGTTATCGGAAATTGCTCAAAAGTTAATTAGGATCTACGATTTTGATAAAATACTTGTATATGAAATTTCATCAACCTAGCTGTAACGGTACTCAAGTTATCGTGTTTACACACACACACAGTCATATGGACAAGGTTGCAAAATTATGTTTTTCCGTATCAGTGAGGTGTAAAACGTTGAGATTTGCAAAAATCTCGAATTTTTTTTTGCACGATTACAAGACTTTCTCTATACTTCGTATATATGAGAAAGTAAAAATTAATGGTTGTGTTAAAATGTGGAAAAAAAAGGTTTTAAAAATTCCTACAGTAGCTTCTAATAGTTTGTTGTTTGTTGTATCACCGGACGTTTATACTTAGTTGTTATCTTTTCCTAACCTAGTTAACATTTTTTTCAGAGCTTAATCTTATGCTACATGTTAGTAGTTTTCTCAACTAAAGAAATATTTCAGGCTCCTTGTTTATTTTGAGATTTCATTTTATGGGTTTAACTAAATGGAATATGAATAAGAAGATTTTTGTTGTAATTTAAAATTATTTTTTTTTTTTGAGTTATGTACCTTTATACTTCAGTCTAAAAAGCTTACTAATACTAAAATGGTTAGTTGAATAGAACTAGATTTTATGTATTCTGTTGTAGAATAATAAGCGTAGGGTTCAAGCACTCTCTTAATGTACCAGAAGCTCATAAAGAAGCTCATTAAAAGAAAAAAAGCTTATGAAGCTCTAGAAATTGCGTAAATTCTGTTGACCTCTTAAAATTATAAAAAAAAATATGTCGTGAAATTTAAATGATCCTGATAAAAATGAGGGTGAAAATCATTTTAATCAATAATTTAGCAACATGAGGTTTTTAGGATGGGCAAACTGAGTATTATGTTGCTTTTTGCTTTTGAAAACTGGTAAAATATGCTTAGCATTTATGCTTCTTTTGATTTACTTCTACACTAACAGGGTGTTACATAAGATCCTAGTGGCATAATTTGTTGAGAAATATGAGAATCATTTTAATACTTGGTAAAAAGAGGATAAAAGAACTACTGTTGCTAAATAGTTTTTGTGCAGTAATATTAGTGTATCAGGAAAACTTATTTTTAAATTGAGGGATGTTGATGCATGAAAAATCTCAAAAAATAATATTGTTCTGCTTAATGGGTTATTTTTAAAAACATATTTATTGACTTAACTCAAGAAGTATAACATTTTTATGTCAACAGCTTTTACATAGACTTAACCATTAAAATTAAAATGCTCTCTCTAGAAATCTTTTCGTTCCTGATGTTTTTGTTATGTGAAGGCTTTTTATACTTTGTTTTATTCCTGTTAAGAAGACTAGTATAGTTGTATGACTAAACTTGCTCTTGATATGAGGGTACCTATAGATCTTTTAAAAAAAATTATTTCTGTAATTCTTAACATGTCTCATGCTTTGATTTTGAAACAAGTGATTGCATGTTCTATACAATGTTTATCTCCCTTTTGTCATTAAGCTAATTTTGCTTACACAAATACTAATATTTTTCCTTCACATTTTTAACATTATATTTAACCATTAATGTCCAGTTGTTTTTTTATTTTGTTGCTAGGAAACAGAAGATTTACTGGTTGACACACTCAATGTTGAAGTCTTTCGTCACACAGTCGCCAACAACGTCTTGGTTGGCAGCTACACAGTATTTAGTAATCAAGGAGGCATGGTATGCATCTGATATTGTTTGTGCCTACTGTATTTTCATAGTTACACAGTATTTAGTAATCAAGAAGGCATGGTATGCATCTGATATTGTTTGACCCACTTTATTTTCATAGTTACACGGTATTTAGTAATCAAGGAGGCATGGTATGCATCTGATATTGTTTGTGCCTACTGTATTTTCATAGTTACACAGTAATTAGTAATCAAGGAGGCATGGTATGCATCTGATATTGTTTGTGCCCACTGTATTTTCATAGTTACACAGTAATTAGTAATCAAGGAGGCATGGTATGCATCTGATATTGTTTGTGCCTACTGTATTTTCATTAGACAAGAAGCTTGTAGCTCCTGTTGTTTACATTAGCCCAGTGATACATACAATAGCCCCAGTTCTAGACATGTGCTTATTCTTCATGTCGCCCACCAAATGTTAAGTGGTGTTGTTTACATTTGTTAGAGCTTTAGTTTTACAGGCAGGGTACACAAGGTTGAAATTGATAACATTTACTTCTAGCACCTGTCAGTTGTTACAGTACTGATGTAAACAAAGCTTTGTTTGCTTAGCATCTGATACATTTACTGTAAACCCTCTACTTTTCTTGATCTGACTTGAAGCTGATCAGTTTAATTTTGACTTCCCCAAACACTATCACTAATGTTAAGTAGTAGTGTTCTGTAATTTAGCTATAATTTAAAAAAAAAAAGAAAGTTTTATTTCTCTAACAGCAATGACTGTATTTCTTGTGTTGGTGATGACTGCTGTATTTCTTGCTGAAATCACCAAGGTCTTATAAATGTGAAGGTCAAATGCCTTGATGTGTACCTGGTGAGATCAAGCCAGAGTACCTGTTGTATTGATTTCACCAGTAAACATTGTACCTGAACTGTTTAGCGCTGAGCATGCAGTAATTGATTTTTTTGTTTACCTTGAAGGTCCCCCCTAAAACATCAGTGGAGGATTTAGATGAGCTCTCGTCCCTGCTTCAAGTACCTCTTGTGGTGAGTGTTGTGTGTGTCAGCAGCTAGCCTAGCTGTACATCTGTACATAGGGGGGGGGGGGTGCTTCTAGTCCTTGGTACAGTTAACTTGTACTCTGATGCTAACTGTGGGATGTTGTTAACTGTTTGTATGGCTCACATGTAGTGTTTATCAGTTTCAAGAAAAATAATGATTTAAGTGTTTGTGTGATAGGATTTATTTAAAATTTTTAAATTGTACTAGAATATCTTTAATTGCTAGTTATACCTGATAGTGAAGCCCTTGAGGCTCTAGTTTAAAGCTGGGTGGACTAAGTTATGTGCTAGTGACTTAAGTATTGTCTCAAACTAGTGCCTATTGTAGAGTGCTCGGCCACTCAACCACACCATCCTCTTGTAACTGTTTGTTTTTCCTCAGGCAGGTACAGTAAACAGAGGCAGTGAGGTTCTGGCTGGGGGCCTTGTGGTCAATGACTGGATGGCCATCTGCGGCCATGACACCACCTCCACAGAAGTCTCCGTCATAGAGAATGTCTTCAAGCTGAGTGACCATGAGCCCTCACACATACAGACACAGATGAGAGATTCTTTAATTGACACGTAAGTTTTGTTTACTCAAGATTTGCTTGTTCAGGTTCTCCTCACTAGTATTGGAAGGTCTCAGTTTTCTGTAGGCCAGATCTGATAGAGAACTCATGTTTCTTTGACCTCTTTATATGGAATAATCTGTGGTCAATGCTATGCCCAACTTCTAGATGTTCTTGGACATCTTACCTCTTGTAGGGTTGGCAACATTGTTGCCAACCCTTCCTCCAGTAGGGTTGGCAACAATGTGCCATGCCTTACTCTGGTAGGGTTGGCAATAATATGTAGGGTTGGCAACAATGTGCCATGCCTTACTCTGGTAGGGTTGGCAATAATGTGTAGGGTTGGCAACAATGTGGCCTACCTTCCTCTGGTAGGGTTGGCAACAATGTGGCCTACCTTCCTATTATTTCTGTCTGTTTATCTTGCTAGATGGTATTCCCTACTAAGCTCAGTCTATCTAACTATATTAAACATTTACTAGCTAATGTTTAAATTTTTAATGATTTACTACTTTTGTTTTTCAATACATACATGAAACCAATTATTTTTGAACAGCAAGATTCTTTATCTTGTATGCATACCTTAATACCCTAAAATGGTTTTGTGATTATGCAGGCTGTCATAAGTTTTACTATGAAAGGGAAGCAAGATGTGAAAAACCTCCAGGGACTGTGAAACAGGACTACATTTGTATACATAACCAGTGGCATTTTTTTTCTGTACGAAACATTTGTATCTCATCCTGTATCTGGTTCATGTTATGTTGACTACCATTGATAATACTGCCAATAAATTGTGGTACATCATTCAAAGATTCATCATGCCATAAGTATATTCTTTAGTTGTTCTTTATTTACTGTTATTGTTTTGTCAGATCTGTAGAATGTTTTTTTTTTGTATTATACACGTGACTGTTTTATAAAGTAAAATATCACCACGTTTGTGCCATTTATGGTTAGAGTTAGACCCCTTTATTTTTACTATTGTCTACAGGGCATCGTTTATTTCTCCAAACATACTAATAAATTTAGTACATTTTTAAAGTAGATATTTTATATCACCTCTATGAACAACTAACAATTTATGACTGTTTTTGTGTTTTGCATTGACTGATGTCAACTAGTTTGTCTAAAGTTGTTCTCCCTCTCTATTTACACAAGGGAAGTAAATTTGTTACCATCACCCTAATGTCTGATAGCCACCTGAAGTTTGGGTTTTATTTAACCTAGACTATGGTAACTTGAGATTAATTGTATTCACTTATAATCAGTGGTGGAAACCCCAGACTTGTCACAATTGGATGGACATTCACACTTTGAAATGAAACTGAGGCAAATGTTAACAGTAGGACAGGTTTATTTGATGGGATTAGTACAGGCTTTCTGGGCCTTCACTAGATGAGCACAGGCTATTTTTACATCTGGTTTGTTAAGCGAGCATGAAGTGGGTTAGTGTTTTTTTTTCACAACTGGGAAACATTTTTGTTTAACTATATAGGCATTTATTACATTAAATATTATTGCTTAGAGTTTGGTCAAACTTACGCTACAAGTCTAAGCATTTTTGTGAGATTAATCGATTAAATAACATTAGTCATTCTAGTGTGAGCTATTTTAAAATAAATTGTTAAGCTGGATATAAGGCTTAGTTTTGTCATACATGTGTAAGACTTAACTTTAAGACTAAGATGGAGCCGTAGATTTTCTCAGCTTTTTACTCCAGGCCTGTGTTTTGGCTTGAATAAAATATTTACAATGGAAAGTGTTTTGTTTATTTCTGTCTCTCACACATGGGTGAGAAATCAGCTGACTCCACACAATTCAGCTCACACCTGACCTGTCACAGCTATCAACCTTGACCCATTCCCTAATGACATTAGAACAAAATTTGACCCTTTCTTTCCTCTGTTGTTTGAACACTGCCAAATACTTTGTCACTAGCAGCTTTTCCAATATATAACATTTTAAAGAGGGTGTTGGTCTGGTTTAGTATTGTGGGATTATTTCAGTAGATTTCTGACGGTTTCAAGGGCTACAGGTTGTTTAAAAATAGGTTTGAAGTGTTTTTAATTCCATTACTAGAAGGGCTCAGAATGTTAGGTGAAACAGACCTGCTGATACCTGAATTAGAACATAACTGAAGGGGGTGCTACTGACTTGAATTAGAACAGTAACTAACGGGGTGCTTAAGAACTTAATTAAAACAATAACTGATTGGGTGCTAATGATATAGTCTACATTAATAACTTATAGGTGAAAATGGAATTGAGGCAACCATAGGCTAAACAACACGCACTTATTTACAACTCTGCCCTAAACAGCTTTCAAATGTGTTCATTCACAGAACATAAAAATCATTAATTTTTTTTTTTGTATTGAATGTGGTTAAAAATAAAGTTAATCTGTTTTAATGGTTGGTCGACTTGTGTAATAGGGGGTGCACACCTGTTGGAGAATTTGTTGGAAGTTGTTGCTCAAATACACCAGTCTTCAGCACAGTAGCATTTACGCACATTAACACAGTACACACCATACATTCCAGTCAAACTATTGCTTTATTTCTTTTACACAACGTACTAGTGCATATTCTCCAACCATATCAGTCCAGTAATCTTAACATAAACTCAAGTAGATCTCAGTAACCATTTTCTAGTTTTAGAAAAATCTTAGGAGATGTAGATGTATAGTTCAATCTTTTTATGTGAATTTTTTTTTAACTAATACAACTTTCAGGATTACTATGAGTATCAATATAACTAGTGTCTTTTGTTAAATAAAATTGCTGTAAGTCATAAGGTGAAAATTTAGGTGAAAATTTGGAAAAAATAAAAACAAAGAATTTCTAGAGAAAAAAAACACTTGATTTTGAAAAGGCAACTAATAATATTATTCTCAAACCACACAAAGGATGATACAATGAAACAATATCATTGGGGAAATAAATTAAGACTTTATGTGTTAATCTTAAATAGAAATGAGCTAAATGAGGCATTGTGGGAAAATCTAAACATTATCGTTAAAAAATATACATGTGCAGACAACCAAAGAACTCAAGATTCTTCAGCCTCCTAAATCAAGCAGACTGTCTCATGTAAAAGAAAAATGTTCATGAACAAGACAAGCAAGGCATTTGTTTATCATCACAAGGACAGGTGGGTATATTCATAATAAAAGGGGATTTTTGTGTTTTCTTCGTTTGAAGAATTACTGTATGACAAATTAAAAATAAAAAGACAAAATAAAAAAAGATTGTATACAGGAACTAGCAAATCTAGTGCAATGGTTGATTTATACAGGAACCGGTACTATAGCAGAATGAAAAGTACTGCAGTACTTGCTTAAAGTACTTTCATGCTCTGTTATGAGAGTAAATGCGAGTGAGCTTGGTCACAGTTTATAAATGAAATGAGGTCAACACTATAATATTGCATGTTCAGAATGTCTGATTCCAAATGCAAAAAAAAACAAGTGTATTTACTCAAAATACTGGAGAGCAAGAAAATGGTTAGCAATTATACAATAAGTAAAGTTTTTTTCAAATCAACAAAATGGTTAATCAATTTAAATATAATAGCATAAAAAAAACTAGTTAAATAATAGACTACATAAGATAGACAGCCTTGACAAGGACTTAAAAAATATGATTTATGATTGTGCCAGTTTTTTTTTGTGTTTGTGTAAACAAAAAAGAAATTGCCAGAAAGGCTTATCGGCAGATTACAGGGAATGACAGCATGATACTGAAACATCATCCACATCAGAGAAACATGAGGTCAATAAAGTGAATAGCTCAAGTCTTTTAAAAAGTGAATTGGGAAAAAATTTAATATTCATCGCGCGTATGTTTTGCGGGGACGACAAACTCCATGGTAACATACAAATTCCCATAACATTTCTATAACAGAGGTGAATATTTCTAATCTCAGTATCACATTAGGAAATCACAATCCGCTCCTCTGGGGGTAATATTGCAACTGAGGATAGATAGAGTTTTTTCTATATGATCAACAATGGTTGCCTTGTATGAATGAATTGAGGGTCAAAGGTCAACTATGTACAAAACTCACTTGATTTTTTTCCTTATAATATTTATATTGCAGCAATCCCTTGTAGAGTGTAATTATTAAATAAATATCTTTGACCATAAATAAATTATTCCATGAATAGTTAAAAATAGAAGATGTAAGTTAAAATCATATTACAATAGTATATTACATTAAGTTAACTTTTGTTTCGATTTTATTATTTAAAATGTAGGATTGTAAAAAAAAATGAAAATGTATTTTGTTTTAAAATTACTTATATGGGAATCAATCAGAAAAAGACAAGTTAAAATATTACAACTGAATGTTTGACAAAATTAAACACAAATATTTCTACTTTCAAAATTTGGCAGGTTTTCATTTAAAGTATACTCAATATTTAAACAGTCAACAAGCACCTCAAACAAAAAAGATGTGGCCAGAATCTAACATGAGATTGAGATGAGCTTAAAATGCTAGACGCCTAGGCTGAGCTTTAGCATCAAAAAAAAAAAAAAAACAGCAACATTTTCCCATTGTTAACAGGTGCCATTAAATATACCGGACAGATGGTAGAGCAGTTTTTACCATGAAGAACAAACAGACAAACAAATAAATCATTGCTTGACTGCATAAAAAAGCAAACCAACTGCACAAAACAAAATAAAATTAATAACAAAGAAAATCTACACATGATGGTAAAACTCAAAATGTTTGTACAACAAAAAGTGTCATCAAACTTAATGAAAGATAACATTAGCTATGATAGGCCCATGATGTAGAAAACACTGAGTATCTAGATCTATTTGATTTCAGAAAGCTTTAATAAAGCTACTAAGACTAAATAGTTTAAATTAATTATTTTTAATTCTCTTACGTTTTTAATTTTAGTGAAATTAAATGGTCTTGTAAAATATTGATTTAAATATTTAAAAAAAAATCCACATCTTTTAGATTTAATAAACAAATATGACTAAATTAAACTTTAAATTGTTTACTACGTTAAAAAAAAGCCTTTTTTTCATTACGTATAATAAATGTTCACTAATTGAAATAAATCCATAAGAAATTAAAAGAGTTATTAAAACGTTGTGACAATTTTTAAATTATTAAAATACATTTTATGAAAACTACAATTTTATTTTTCATCCAAGTTTGTAATCATTTTGACAACAAAAATATTTTGAAAAATTTAAAAATATTTAATGAACTTTTCTGTGATATGATCTAAAAATAGGGAACATAATATAAGATGGAATAAAATAAAGAAACAAATGATCAAAGCAGTACAGCTTGAGGTCTTTAAATCTAAAAACAATATGGAGGCTACCTACAATCTAAAAAAGCAAACTACATGAGAGGCACTTTATATTATCACAAATTTGAGGCAAAAGATTCGAATAAAATTTGATACATTTAGTTTCTCTTTGCATCTTTTTTTCAACCAAAGTCTAATCTCTGATATTAATAATAACTTTTTTTTTTCAGAAAAATGTGTATTTAAATTTAAAAATAATTCTTTCTTGGTGTACAAGTATATATTGATGTTAAAAGTAATTGTTTTCTATAGTTAAATTTTCAAAAATTATACTGCCTGCTTTGATTTATGATGCAGCAATGAAAATAAGTTAGAAATATCACACTTACTTTTGGATATATTTACATTTTTAATTATGAAAAATAAAACAAAATCCTAATTTTAAAATAAATGAAATGCCAAATCTCTAGAGAGTAAAATGCAGTTAAATGGTGGAAATATTTAACTTCCTGAGTCAAGTTTTATGATGAAGAGACAAACTTTTTAAATAGCGAAGAAATTTAAACATTTTATTTGGCAAAGAGCGGTGCATGCTCTTGATCATTATAATTTATAAATATTTTATAGAACCTCATTTTTTAAATTAATATTAAGATGGATGAGTAAATTTAGTTTTAGAACAAGATTAATTAGATTTTTATTAATGTATACAGCTGTGAGTTTATTTTGGGTTTTGATTAGATGCAGTTATGACTTGATGAAGATTGATATAAATGTGTGTGTTTGCAGGTTGTCGATATAAATCTACTTAGTGTGTTCTACCCAAACTTGCCATGGTACATCTAGAAAGTAGAAAAAGTTTGCAAGACATCTTTCATGGGCACTGGCTCCACCTTAGCTCATTGGTTCATCTGCTGAATGCTTTAAAAAATACTAAAAAAAAACTCCTTGAGATGATTTTTAAGATAGATAAAATTTATAACTGCTGGACTAGGTCTAGTATTAAAAAAAAATTTCAGTTGTTTGAAATAAAATTATTTAAAAAATTGTGTAAATCGACATCAACCAATAATTTTAAATCGTCACAAAGTTGGTTTAGCTTAAATCGATCACACCAAAATAATGAACTATGTGATGATTTGTTATTTGTAAATAATTACAAATCAAAATCTTTGATTTCTGCCTGTTTAATAAGTTAATAAAAGTTACATAACTCTGAGAAATCAGAACAGGAAGGGATTAAATAATTATAGCAGACATTACAAAAATCTCTCCATATATGTTCAAATCTGTTGCATTAATTTGAACATTATTTGAATTCGAAACACTGAAAGTTGCCTTTGATTTAGCAACAGTGTTTTGATGTTTGAGTCTTTGCTGCAGAAGAGTGCATGATTTTAATAAACTCTATAAATACAACAGGCTCAACACATCTGTAAACTGTTTTCTCCAGATGTAATTCTTCGCCACTCATCATGTCGAAACCTCGAAACAATAGTTCAGCTGCAATCCACTTTTGGAAAAGATTGGTGAATGTTTCCTTCCTTCAACAAAGAGTTCATCAAGTACACAAGTGGGTTATGCTAGTCTACAAAGTTTATTAGAAAAAAATCTGAGATTAAAAAAATTAGAAAAAGACACAGTTTAGTTGAAAAACTGTTTAAAGGTAAAAATCTTACTTTGTCCATGTGTTATTGTTTATTCTAAAGCTCACAGATCAGTACAGAAATTCCCTCAATGCTTTTCTTCTATGAGTAAGCAAACTGTTCACAACTTTTACAGTTATTAGAGAAACATCCTTTGTGTTTAAGATTCCATTCAATGTAAATATGTTTCTCTCTTCATTTAAACTGATATTTTCCATATCTTGAGGTTAGATTCTAAAATCTGGTTTAAGTCATATCTGGGAGAATACATTATGGGACCTTTGCATTTTCTTTATATGTTCTTGAAGGACAAATAAATGGATAAAAACATTTGTTTTCTATTTAGGTAAAGACTTTTGGGGGTTAAAATAAAGATTTTGTTTTCTACAATCTTTCACAACATAGCTGTATGTACAGGTTTAATGCTTTTGTTTACTCTGAGATCTCCGTCAGGAACCTCCCATCTAATCCAAAGAAAAAAGTTGACTGTCTTTGTTAGGCCAGCAAGCTTGCACCGTGTCTTCTGAGTGGCTGTCCCACTTAGGGACCTGGGAAGCCAGCCAATCGATGATGCCGTACCATGTGTGGTGGGCAGGAAGAAGCGGGGGTTAGATCTGGACAAGACTCCTAGAGATAGAGACGCCTGTTTCACGAGAGCAGGTTGAAGAACATTGTTGCTAGACTCAGGTTCAGGGCTATGACTAGGACAAGGAGTTGTCTTTCTTGGCACCAGTCCTGCAGTAAAGGAAAATACAAGGTCAAAGATAAACTTCCATGAAAACTTAACAAAATGATTTAAAAAAAACAACAAACTAAAATTACTTTAAAATGAAACTCTGAAGAAAGACTGATAATAAATTGAATAGGCCTATTTAATTTCTAAAAACTTTCCTCTTTTATAATTTATTGCTTTTTATAATTTATTCTGCTAACAGGCCCTACTCAGTTAAGCGATGCTTTAAAAAAAAAAGTCAATTTTTTCTTTCTCTATGCACATCCTAATAATTGGTAATTTTTCATATTTCATTGTAAAAATATTGTGTGGTACACTTACAATAAAATTGTTACACTAAATAATTAGCAGTTTTCACATTATTAAAAGTATAAAACTAGAATATTTATCATTTGATAAAATTATATTTAAATATTTTTTTTTATTGCAGCAGGGTTTATAAACTATTAGGCTATAAAGTGTTAAAGTTGTAGCAAAACCATGTGTGGTAAGTATCACTTTATAGAAAACCTGAGGACATATTTCTATTTAACACAAACCAATAACATACTAATGTATATGATCTCAAGATTTTCCAGGTACTTAGCCTACACTAAGTGGGCCTCAGTTAGGTTATGATCCTAATTATAGGACAGAACTCCCCCCCCCCCCCCACCAAATGACAAACCTCTCTATAACACTACCCCTCTCCTTTTTAAACATCATTTCTCACCTAAAGTATAAATTGAGCCTGATCAACATTAGACACCCCCAAAGGATGTCTACTGCTCCCCCCTCCCATGAATTATAATTTATATAGAAAATATATACTTTTATAAGTGTGTTCCCCATCCCTTCTCTGGAAAATTATTAAGCCTATTTTTAAATAATGTATTGTTATAGGTTGACACATAATACATTATATTGTTTACATATCAAACAATGCATTGTTATAGAATATAGGCAGGTGTACATAATATGACCTACATTATATTTGCTAATTAATAACTATTGTATTAAGCCACACATAATGCAGTATATTTGTTTACATATACATATTAAACAATGCATTGTTATAGTCCTACATAATAGGCCTAGAGTATATTTGTTTATTCATTAAACAATATATTGTAAGAAATACTGGAATACCTAATAAATAGCGTGTATCTGTTTACTCGCATCTAAATTTATGATTATTATTTATAATTGGCATTGCGAAACATTTTGATGTGAATTTTCTTCGCATTTTAACTACGTCACAAACTTACTGATTCATGGTGTTATATTCCGTTAATTCAGGGAAAAATGAATGTGAACATTGAAAGATATGATAAAGTGTTCTACCAAATATACTGCCACTCGAATAGTTAGTGATGGTGGGTGGGTGTGGTGGGGGGAGTGGTGCAGTTATGAGTCTTGACAATTCGCTGATTAAGGGTGGGTGTCTCATATAGGGTAGTAATGACATATGTAGTGTAAGAGAGATTTATAATGTAAATATGTCAGAATATTTTAGTAAGTTACAGGTAAGTGGAGCTTTACGATAATTTTAATGGGTTTCAGGGTCGGGTCCTTTATTTTCATTTTGATAATAGGTGGGGAGATTAAATCCGTTAAAACTTGATGACGTCATTTATAAATCAAGTCTCCTCATCGAAATGATTATCTAATATCTTCGATATTCAGGATACTTTTCTTCATTAGTATGTTATGTTAAAAGAAAAAAAAAAATTGCTACATTTTAGACGAATGGGTTTCATTTGAAAACAAAAATATAGGCTTACAATAATTGTAGTAAATTATTGGCTTACAATAATTGTAGTAAAATATTAGCTTACAATAATTGTAGTGAAATATTAGCTTACAATAATTGTAGAAATAATGGAAAAAAAAAACGGATCCTGGGCTTGTGTCTGTAGAACGTCGCTGAGTTCACCCAGCTCTAATGGGTACCTGACTCACGTTAGGGAAACAAAGATGGCTGGGCATAGTGCTGACCACACTATCCCCTTGTATGCCGAGGTAATTGAAACATATAACTCTACCTTACTTGCTCCATGCGTCTTGAACACAAAAGGGAAGCGACGAGGCGTCAAAATGAAACCAAAAGTGCTGCTGTACTCACCCGAACGTCTCCGAGAATGACCGACATGTCTCCCTGTCGCCTCCTCTCTGCCAGCTCTTGCAGGCGCCGGATCTCCTCCCTCCTGGCATTGCCCAGCTGATACGCCTCCCTCCGCGACATGGGCTTCACGGCCGTGACGTTTTTAAGGTCTGGAAGACTTCCACGAATGTCCGCCCCGGCGGGCAAACCCGTCAGTTTTGGAGTGTCCACGAATTTGTATTCCTTTGGAAGCGGCATTGGTGTTTTGCTCGAGTTTGAATGCACCTCGGCCTGGATCCTCTTCCTAATGCCGTTCTCGATGATGAATGTCTCCGGGTTTTGGCTCGTCAGGTTCTCGCTGCTGTGCGCCGTCTCCCGTTCAATCATCTTCTGTTTGCCCACAGCCAGATCCACATTTTTGATAGCGTTTGTGTCGTTGACGATACACGGCATGGTCCGCCTCCTCTGTAGGGACTTTGTCTTGCTCAGTTCTTCGTCCATCGTGTCCGAGACGCCGGAATCCGGGGAAGGGTTTGTTGACGGTTGGCGCATGCGCGGGTTGTGGTTGCTGTGGCTGTGCGGGTTGTTGTTGCGGTTGTTACTGGTGGTGGTGGTGTTGAGAGTGCCTAGGCTGTCCCCGCCAATGCCGCTGTCCGCTGCGGTGTACTGATCGAAGTGATCGTTGAGAATGGTAGAATTGAAGATCTCGCTGAAGCCTCGTCCGCGGCGAGACCCGGCGAGGAAGCTGTACCGTCGTACTTTGAGGGAAGGGCTCCGGGAGTGCTGGCTGACCTGCAGGTCGTTGCCCCCCGGCCCGCCCGGCCCGCCAGGCATGATGAGCAGTTGCTGATGGTGGCTGTAGTCGTTTGGCGTGCGGTGGCCCCCGGCGTCGCCGTGGAGGGCGGCGAGTGCCGACAGTCCGCTGGGGTCCTGCCCCTCGTAGTTGGACTGTCCGTGCGGGGTGTTCAGGGATTTGGATCTGTAAGGCTGGTGATTGGCCATCCCAGTCACGTGGCTGAAGTCGTACTCCATCTCATTGTTTTCCAAGTGCTTCTTCATCACGTCAGTACCTAGTGGAAGAGTCGTTAACATTCGCTCATTAGCAGGTTTACATAATTAATTTTTTTTTAATTTAACCTTCACATAATTCAATCTAGTAAATGTAAATTTGCTGATGTCGGTAAAATAAAGGCTAGTTGCTACACAATGTGTTGACACAAACACAACTCACACTATCCCTTTAAATACCGAGGCAACAGATATAGATGAACTCTACTTCATCTGCTATGCCCAAAAGGGTAACTTGAAAACTTAAGACTGTATCAACAGTTTATCAACATGAAACCTTACATTAAGACATTAACCGACAGTGGTAGCCTCTAATAGAGACGCCGTATACATTTAGCGACATATGCACATACACTAGTGTTGATGTATTTGTATGTGTTGTTTACAGTGGTGCTTACATCCGTATAGCGAAATAATTAATTTTGCAACTTTCATTATCTATTTGTTGTAAAATATATTAATCACGAGTGGAATGTTTTTCAAAGCTAAGAAACTTCAACATTCCTTCCGCTTGATGTGGTATTACGAATTCTCCAGTTAATTAGTCCAAACCAATTAGCAAACGTTGATGCCAGATTTGTAAAAAAAAAATCGAATGAGTAAGGATGAGTTAACCCTAACAAAGACACGTCATTGAATATATTAATGAGCTTGTGTTAAATGTCCCAACCGTCAGACGGGTGTATTAGGGGATCTGTTTGTTTGATGCAGCGTTCATTCAACCCGCTGGGTATCTTCTGTCTGGGTAAAGTCTGGCACTCGGGCTGACGGCTTAAAAGCTCGGCACTGCTGGAATAAATGTCAGGTACATCCCTGCCATTTAATGAGTCCAGCACGCGCCAATCATGCTTGTTGATCTGTACCGTTGACATGCGCAAACCAGCTCGTTAGTTCATGTATACTGGGGTACAGGTCAGCCTCGAATTGAGGACAGCTTCGACATAAGGACAGCTTCAAACTGAGGACAACTTCAAACTGAGGACAGCCTCGAACTGAGGACAGCCTCGAATTGAGGACAGCTTCGACATAAGGACAACTTCAAATTAACAACAGCTTCAAACTGAGGAAACCCTCGAATTGAGGGCAGCCTTGAACTGAGGACAGCTTCAAACTGACGTCAGCCTCAAACTGAGGACATTCTTAAACTGAGGACAGACTCTAACTGCGGTCAGCCTCGAACTGAGGACAGCATCAAACTGAGGACATTCTTAAACTGAGGACAGACTCTAACTGCGGTCAGCCTCGAACTGAGGACAGCCTCGGACTGACGACAGCCTTGTACGGAGGAAGCAAGAAACTCCCTAGTACCAGACTACCCATCCCGGCCTGCCCCAGTAGATATGTTGATTGGCTCAGGCAGTAGAGGGGAGGGTAGAATTATGAAACTGTTGCCCAGCTGCACCCATTATACGATAATTTGATATCAACACGACATTTTTTTAATGTTGGTCCTGACCTCGTATAGGAATTAACATGTTATTTCAAGTTATACAGTACATTTTTCTAGACATTACCCTGACATTACCGTGGCATATATATATATATATATATTACATTTTGGCTCTTACATGGCATATATATATATATATATATATATATATATATATATATATATATATATATATATATATATGCCATGTAAGAGCCAAAATGTAAGAGATGTAAGAGATGTAAGAGTTAGTTACCTGGCTGATGGAACTCAGGGGCGTACTCTTTGGCTTTCAACCTGGCGATGTCGCTGTCGTTCTGGGCCCTGTCGGCTGCCAGGTCCGCCGCCTCTGCCTTAGCTCGTGCGTTGGCCATCCTGTGGGGGAGAGAAGTGGCTGGTTAGTTGGGGTCGATAGGAGGGTGGGGTTCAAGTTGTAGGGGTCAGCGGGGGTCAATCAGTAAGGGGCCCAACAGTAGGGGTCAATAGGTGGGGGGTGTCAGTAGGGGTCGATAGGTGAGGGGTCAGTAGGGGTCGATAGGTGAGGGGGGCAATCAAGGGGGGGGGGTCAATAGGTGGGGGCGGGGGGTCAATCAATAGGAGTCAGTCGAAAGGGGTCAACTAGTAGTGGTATACCACTTGGTGTGTCTACATAGTGGGGTCAAAGATGAGGATCTAACAGTAGGGTTTGTGGGGTCATCGGGGGTCAGACATGAAACTCCACACGGCAGATAAGGTAGAGTTAACTTGTTTTTTTAACCTCGGCATTGGAAGTATTTGCTTGCCCAGCAGAATGTCTTGCTGTTTCTGCTTTCCCCGAAATTGTCAGGTACCCATCAGGGCAGAAGACACAGGTACAATGGTAAGATTTTCTAGTGGTGAACATGGGCTAAATTACAGCCCATAATGTCAAACCTATGAATTGTTAGTTTACGTATATATATATATATATATATATATATATATATATATATATATATATATATATATATATATATATATATATATATACACACGCATGTGTGTAAGTATAGGAATTGTGTCTTTGCAGCAACATGAAGCAATACACAATGGACCACTGAGTGAAATACATAATTCTAGGACAAGGGCTAATCACGTTAACTAACATAACACATACAATGCTTCAAACAAAAGAGTACAATGCTGAAGAAACATTGGTCTAAAAAGCTTATAAGAACTCCAACAAGCGTAAAACCGTCTTATTCGTTCAAAGAGTATCTCGTACACGACGTATAGTAGAACATTTTCATTGGAATTGCATGACATGTGAAGCTGCCTTAAATGTTCTGACTGTAAACCACCCCTACACATCCCAGAGATGTAATAGTGTTATAAAATATAGTTGTGTGTGTGTTTCTGATAAGCGGAAGAATTTATATTCGGAGCTGGAGAATCAGACAAGATCATCTGATTAGCATTAATATGCCAGGTAGAGAGAGAGGTGGATGGGCAAGAGTAAGGAAAGTTGCCAGGTAAGACAAATATTCGGGCCAAATAATAGGAACATGTTGCCAAGTAAGAAAAATAAATAAAATGCATATTAACTAAAGATGAAGGCAACAACAAAAATATTGTTAAAAGTTTACCGGGTAAAAGAAATCAATGAGTGAGTAAAATTTTGAGAAGAAGTTTACCAGGTAATAAAAATATTAATTGATGGATGGGATTAGAAAAGGTTTGCCAGGTAATTGAAGTTAATGGGCGCCCAAACCTCGATAGAAGCTTTGCCAGAATATAAAAAAATAAGTGAACTTTTGACGAGTATCTCGACAGAGCAGTCACATTTGACACCAGTCTACGATAAATACCACCCAACTCTGATGGGTACCTAAACTCACGTTAGGGAAAGTAAAGGCGGCTGGGTATAGTGCTGACCACACTATCTCTTCATATGTCGAGGTCACAGAAACAAGTGAATTCTACTTCACTTGTCCCATAGACCGTCAGGTTTGAAAAGGAACTTTACTACGATAAATACAGGTTGGTGTATCATGTTTTATGTTACCTGTGACTGGCGCTTCGGAGGTAAGACCTCGTAGGTACATTAGTCAAACTATTAATTAGGAGCTTAATTAGCATTGGCGCTGCCGAGCACAGGCAGTTAAAACACGATCACGTGGGATTCTTACACCTGTACACGTCACGGTTGAATGGTCATCTAATGAGAGCAAGTCTATTTTTGCGTGTGGGTGCTAAAGTACTTAATAACAAGGGTTTGGTGTGCGTGTTTTTTCCTTCCACCTTCTTGTGTAATGGTCGTTAAAAAATATATAAGAAACATGGGATAAGTGGACTAAGAATATCATCGGATAAATAAGCCAAGCCTACCCTGGGATAAGTGAAAGCCTATCATAAGATAAGTTTAGTAAACTTATCAAGGAATAAATGAAATAAGCCCATCATGGGATAACTGAGCAAAGCCTATCATATAGTCGTACAATAAAACCGTACAATGAATACATGTTGTGTAATAGCCCCAAGGATCGCAGAAGAAGAAGCAACTAGCTAGGAAAACCTGCGACCTATCATCGAGTCATAATGTTTTCATGTTCCCAGACTGCAGGTATGTTACGGCTTATCTCTCAGAGGTGAAACCATAACATCTACCTCTCTTGCTATCTCTCTTTCTATCTCTCTTTCTATCTCTTCACATACGTTTTCAGATAACATTTTTTTTCTCCCTCAAAATGATCGTGAGTATCTCTCATTTGTAACACGGTTCCGGAGAATAAACCTACATCATCAAACCCATGCCGGTCCAGAGTACCTCCCTCATCACTCCCTCTCTCTCGTCTATAATTCCCCCTCCCCCTTTCCTCATTCCTAACACCCTATCTCACCCTCACCCTCCACCCGACGTAGCCCATAATTCTCCTGCTCGCTACTGCTCACTCACACAATCTCTCCATCGCCTCACCCTACCCTACACCACCCCCTCCTCCCTCCCTCACACCCGCACCCCCCCCCCCCAGTACCCAATACACTTAGATATAACAAGTCATGTAACAGAACTCCGGCGTGGCGATGTATGTTCGTTGTATCGGGAACAATTCATGCGTCTTCTTACGTTGTGTGTGTGAGGGGAGGGGGGGGGGTAGGGTGGAGGCAGACATCGGGCACTGAACTAGCCAGGTTGATTCTTCCATAGCTGTGGCATTAAGTGACTGCGTGGCATAGGATTTGTACACTTGCTTATGTACGTGGGACATGCACATTTTATGTTCGGTTATGTTATTACGTGAGGTATAGACCTTTTGATTGGTGGAGGGTATTGGTGGAGGGTATTGTTTGTGTGATTGGTGGAGGGTATTGTTTGAGTGATTGGTGGAGGGTATTGTTTGAATGATTGGTGGAGGGTATTGTTTGAGTGATTGGTGGAGGGTATTGTTTGAATGATTGGTGGAGGGTATTGTTTGAGTGATTGGTAGAGGGTATTGTTTGAATGATTGGTGGAGGTTATTGTTTGAGTGATTGGTGGAGGGTATTGTTTGAGTGATTGGTGGAGGGTATTGTTTGAATGATTGGTGGAGGTTATTGTTTGAGTGATTGGTGGAGGGTATTGTTTGAGTGATTGGTGGAGGGTATTGTTTGAATGATTGGTGGAGGGTATTGTTTGAGTGATTGGTGGAAAGTATTGTTTGATTAGTGGAGGTTATTGTACGCCTAGTTATGGCTATGAACAATCACGTGATCTTATGTCACATGGTCCGTAGCGGAACAAACACAGGAACCATCTCTGGAATCTGGTGGTGGCAGGGGGTGGGGGGGTATGTTGGGTGGGGGGGGGTTATGCGGGGTAGGGGGAGTATGTGGGGTGGGGGGAGTATGTGGGGTGGGGGGAGTATGTGGGGTGGGGGGGAGGATGTGGGGTGGGGGGGGAGGATGTGGGGAGTATGTGGGGTGGGAGTAGGTGGGTTGGGGGTGTAGGTGTGGGATGGGTGGTGAGTAGAGGTGTCAAATCGAATCTCGTTTGTTCAGCATAACAATTGCACTTTATCTCTAGAAAAGACAAGATTGGAGAAAAAAATAGAAATCTCCGATTTACACCCCCACCCCCCACTTCACCCCCACACCCACCTCTACACTCTTCCCCTTATTCCCTATTTACCAGACTGTGGCTATTCATCAACTTGTGAGCCCAACGCATGTCATTACGATAAGCAGCTATTTATCAATCTGCGCTTAACCAACAAACTGCACATACGTTTTACAATTATAATCATCAACACAACTCATCTTCTAGCAAACAATGGAAGAGACAAATGGGTAAAACATCAGTCCACATGTTTGGCCAGTGGGGGGGGGGGGGTGGAATACAGACAGAGGGGTGGGAGGGGAGTAATATATTGTAACACTGACCACTTGGGACATGTTTTTTTGGGACCACTCGGCTGTGGTCTCGGGGGGGGGGGGGCTCATAGCCCAAACGTCGCAGAACTAGGGTTGGGGGTGGGGTGGGGGGGGGGAATGCTCATAGCCCAAACGTCGCAGAACTAGGGTTGGGGGGTGGGGTGGGGGGGTGGGTGCTCATAGTCCAAACGTCGCAGAACTCGGGGGAGGGGCTGAAGAGAGAAAGATGGCGTTGAAGAAGTGAGAGCTTGTGTATACCAGAGGATTAGATGCAGCGGTGTTCTTGCGGCATCAAGCCCTTGGTAACTATACAGGCAGTGTCCTAGGCAATTATACAGGCAGTGTCCTAGGCAATTATACAGGCAGTGCCCCTAGATAACTATACAGGCAGTGCCCTTGGTAACTATACAGGCAGTGTCCTAGGCAATTATACAGGCAGTGTCCTAGGCAATTATACAGGCAGTGCCCCTAGATAACTATACAGGCAGTGCCCTAGGCAACTATACAGGCAGTGCCCTAGGCAACTATACAGGCAGTGCTCTAGGCCAGGGGTCGGCAACCTGCGGCTCGCGAGCCGCATGCGGCTCTTTTGGTGTCCAGTTGCGGCTCTTCAGCTCCATGCACAAATATTAATAATTATTTTATTTTATTTTCAAAGCTCATAAAAATATTAGTCTGCAACACTCGGTAATAAACGATATAACAATAGATATAAACAATAAACATTCACTATTGTATTAGAGTATTTAGTTACTCCCTTTCTCAATGTACTTCCTATTACATTGTCCATTCCGAATTGAAACATTCAACTTCATAGTGTATATCATAAAGAAACTAAACCAGCTAAGTGTAAAACTGAAAGGAAAACCCAGCCTATGTCTTGCTTGAAGAAGTGGTTTGTTTCGAAAAAAAAACCAGCTTTTTTTTGTTGACTACAGGTGAGCGATAAATTACTTAATTACGAAAAATCTGAAAAACATATCGTTATGAAACCAATGCTACTATTC